TTTTTTTTTTTTTTTTTTGAAAGCCAGTCCTTAAGAGGTTTTTGAAGGGTTTGAAAAATGTTTATGAGACCGTTATATAGTTGACCCTCAACTTATGGAATTAATCTGTAATAGAACGGTGGCCGCAGGTCAAAAAGTTTGTAGGTCGAGGTTCCATTTCCCATAGGAATGCATTGAAACCACACAGGGACAGAAGGCAGAGGGCACCGGGGACGGGAGACAGAGGGCAGCAGGTGCAGCTTTGGAAGCCGAAAGCCGCTCCACGCCTGCTGCTGGCTTTCGGAGCCGCTTCATGCCTGCTGCCGGCTTCCTGAGCTTCAAAACCCCCTTCACTGCCCTATCCCCATCCCCTGTGCCCTCTGCCTTCCGTACCTGTGGGGATGGTAGGCAGAGGGGAGCGGGGGCAGCTTTGAATTTCCTGCCCTTTCCTCCTGCCTTTCATAAGTCAAAGCTGTGACTGCGAGTCGAACTAAAATTTTGCAGCCGCAGCTTTTCATATCTCGAAATTTTTGTACGTAGGGACCGTCATAGGTTGAGGGTCCACTGTATTAGCGTCCATGTTGTCTTCAGATCTCAGGCTGTTAATGCACAAGGCTGTTGTACATAATGTGTGAATTCACAGATGAACATTTGAAGAACTACAGTTACAGGTAAGCAACCTGTCCTTCATAGGAAAAAATAACTTGTTTTTAGCCTCATTGTTTTGGGATTTTGGTTTTTACAGATGAATCCGCTGTGGACAAACCTGACCTCAGTGGTCCAACCATTTGTTACGTTCCAGGAGGAGAATATTTTGTGGAAGGAGATACATGGAATATTGATTCTTGCACACAATGTACATGTCATAATGCACGGGTTTTGTGTGAAACTGAAGTGTGCCCACCTCTTCTTTGCCGAAATCCAACTCGTACTCAGGACTCATGCTGTCCACAGTGCCCAGGTGAACATTCAATGTAAACATTGTAGTTGTTTTGCTCTCCCCATGCAAGATGCTACTGAAAAATAATGTAGTGGCTGAAATTCTGTTGCTTTACATTGTTAGTTGCAATGTATAATCTTTAAGTAGGACTATTGAATAAATGAAACTTACAGATCAGTTGTTTCACGAAATCCCTACAGATTCAATGAACCTACTCTGTTTGCATCTTACCGTATTTGCCGGCGTACAAGACGACTTTTTGGCCCTGAAAAACATGCCTCCAAGTGGGGGAATCGTCTTGTACGCCGGGTGCATGTCCAGCAAACCCTCCCTCTCTCCCAGCAAAGTCACTTACCTGGTAGTAAGACCAAGTAGAGCCCCGCTCCTAGCCTGGGAACAGCCTGACTCTAGCGCCGAACAGCTGACTGTCGGGAAGAGCAGAGAGGAGGCAGCTATTTTGAGATGTGACCATTTTTATGTATGAAGGCTCTTTCTGTGATACTGAGCACTGCATGATCAAGAGGAGAGGCTCTGCATATAGAAGAGGTTCTCCTCTTCAGGAAGTTGTTCTCCAAGTGCATAAAACAAGAAAAACTTACAAGTGGGGCTTATGTGCTTTTTCTCATTGTATTTTTATTTTCAGTTGTTACAGAATGCCTCAATAGGGTTGTGTTGTAAGAACATTTGGAAAATGCCAAAATCCAGAAAATCCTAATAGCATACATGATCATCACTTCATTGATAGAAAACCTGCAAACTTCCTTTAATGTAATTTCATATTCTGAAAGATAAAGTGACCTAGTTGATAGTTACATTCAAAAAAACAGTTGATTCATATTTAGAGAATCAGATCCAAAATTCACAAACACATGGAGAACATTCACACTTCATCATGACAAATTTCCTACCATTTTCCTTTATTGCTTACTGTCTTGCATCTATGTATTTTAGACGAACCTGCTCAACCTTCCTTGGCAAGCAATGAGAGCATGCCCGGTTATTGTAAAAATGATGATGGCGATATTTTCCTTAGTGCTGAGTCTTGGAAACCCAATGTTTGTACCAGTTGTATTTGCATGAATGGTGGAATCAGCTGTTACTCTGAGTCTTGCCCACCAGTATCTTGTGACAGACCTGTTTTAAGAAAGGGACAGTGTTGTCCATATTGTATAGGTGAGTAAATGAAAGGAGAAGAAATGATGACATGCTGGGGCATTTTTCAGTCATATTTACTCAGAATCATCATGCCATGTCAATTTCTACATTCATTTTATTTTGTACTTTGTTTCTGACAAATGAAAATACCTGCTTCTGCTTGGGTTAATCCCATTGCAGTGCTTTCTCTTCTCCCCCCTCCGCACCCAATTTCCTTTCATATGGTTTTTCTCTCCCTCCTTAATATTAAGTGTCACAAATGACGTCTTATTTCCTTTCACTAGACATTGAGGAGAAAAACAATATGGTTTTATTTATTTATTTACATTTCTGTGTTGCCTCAGAGCAACTCAAAAATTATTTTTAAAAACCAAACTTAAACCACAATAAATAATGACAATAAAAAACAATTAGACATGGGATTTTATTTAAAAATTAGTTAAAGCTGCTAAAAACATCTTTGAAACACTTTAAAAATACACACAAAATAATAATAATAATAATGTCCAGCACACAAGACCAAAGCCTGCTAAATTAGTTAAAGGTTTTTCTAAAATATATGATCTTCACTTGTCATCGGAAAGACAAGTAGAAGGAAACTAATTGGGCTCCCAGGGGAGGGCATTCCACACCCTGGGAGCAGCCACAGAGAAGGCCCTTCTTATGTTCGTATCATATGTGTCTGCGAAGGCTGTGGGACTTGAGTAGGATCTCCCCTGAAGATTTTAAGAGTCAAGAAAGGTCATATAGGGAGATGCAACCCCTGCCATAAAGTCCAGTTCAAGCCTGGGTCTAGATTAAATTTACCATAGACTATTTTCAGTGATCTTGTTTGTTGCCTGATATCAGAGAAATTGTGTCCTTGTGTCCTTAATTTGGGTTTTGCAAGAATAATGTTACGGAACAATTATGTGCCTTAAATTCTCATTTTAAGTGTTATTTAATAGGCAAAATGTGCAATGGTAGCTTTTCCCTCTGTTATTTATTTATTTATTTAACTTATATGCTGCCCACACTACCCAAAGGTATCTGGGCGGCTTATAACAATTAAAATACAGTAAAAAAAACAATTAAAATATATACTCTAAAAATTGCCATCAGGATCCACAGCTGATATTATTTCAGTTAAAAGCCTTCTGGAACAGGAAGGTTTTGACCTGGTGCCAAAATGTCATCAGCATCGGTGCCAGACAAATCTCAGTTGGGATGGTGTTCCATAGTCTGGGGGCAGCTGCCAAAAAGGCCCTTTGTCTACAAGCCATCCCTCTTACCTCCTTGAGGGACGGCTCTTTCAAAAGGGCCCCCTGGCTAGATCTTAACTGCTGGGTAGGTTCATATGGAAGGAGGCAGTCGTTCAGATGTCCAGGGCCCAAGCCATTTAGGGCTTTATATGTCAAAACAAGCACTTTGAATTGGGCCTGGGGAGCAACTGGTAGCCAATGTAATTTAAACAGAATCGGCTTGATGTGTCCCCTAGTGGCCCCACTATTCACCAACTGCGCAGCTCGATTCTGGACCAGTTGCAGTTGCGAGACCGTCTTCAAAGGCAGCCCCATGTAGAGCGCATTGCAGTAATCTATAGAAGATGTTACCAGTGTGTTTGTAACAGTCATGAGACTATGGAACTTTCCCTCCAAACCCATGACAGACAGGTAACATCAGTGCTGTTGGCCCCACTATTCACCAACTGCGCAGCTCGATTCTGGACCAGTTGCAGTTGCGAGACCGTCTTCAAAGGCAGCTCCATGTAGAGCGCATTGCAGTAATCTATAGAAGATGTTACCAGTGTGTTTGTAACTGTCATGAGACTCCGCTCATCCAGGTAGGGCCATAGCTGGTATAATTTCCGCAGCTGAAGGAAGGCGCCCTTGGTCACCATGTCCACCTGGGCTTCCAGCGTTAGACTGGGGTCCAGGAGCACCCCCAGGCTGTGGACCCTGTCCCTTAGGGGGAGTGTAACCCCTTACAGGTCAGGGAAATAGCCCTCCAGCCTGTCCGGTAAAACACTCACTAACAGCATTTCTGTCTTGTCTGGATTGAGTTTTAATTTATTAACCCTCATCCAGTCCATTATCAGGTCCACATCTATGTATTAGAAGGCCTTTTCTCTGGTAATAAACAGATTTAGGTTTCCCCCCCCACACACACACACTGAGTTCATCCATTCTGTGCTTCTACCAAAGAATTACTAAGGAAAAGCAAGGGCAGACCAGAAGCCTGTTTATAGGTGCCTCACAAAGCTTAGAATCTTGGTAACCAACCAATCCAGGGATGCTTGTTACAAACTAGCTCTAGATTCGGAGTAGACATTTTACAATATACAGTAGTGCTTCACTTAGCGATGTTAATCCGTTCCGGAAAAAACATCGCTAAGTGATTTAATCGCTAAGCGATTTTAAAAAGCCCATAGGAATGTATTAAAACGCGTTTAATACGTTCCTATGGGCTAAAAACTGACCTTAAAGCGAAATTCCTCCATAGCGGTGGCCATTTTGGGTGCCTCTACAGCGAGGCAAAACAGCGGTGGCCATTTTGTTTTTGCGGTGGCCATTTTGGAACCGCCGATCAGCAGTTTAAAAAAGTTCGCTTTGCCATGATCGCTTCCCAGCGATCATGGCAAAGCGAATTTTAGCCATAGAGGACATCGCTAAGCGATCGCTCCAGCGATGGCCAAAAGTCCATCACAGAGCGATTTCATCGCTCAACGGAGCAAGCGCTAAGCAAGGCACCACTGTAAATTGCAATGATTGTATATCTGTGCTAGAAGAACATCTGTGTTTAAGAATCCCATGTTCAGTTCCTTGAAGGAAAGGTGGAATAATAATGCACTACATAAAATAACATGATAGCAACGAATCATACATTGTTTTGGGAGTCTGATTTTAGGAACTTCAAGGAAAGGTTCCACACATCCATGCTGGCATTTCTGGAGCTTTTAAAATATGTTGTTGTGCCCATAATTATTAAGATAGAGATGTACTGTTTTTCTTCTGAATGTCTTAAAAACATAATGGGGACAAAAACTGGATATCTTTTCAGTTTGATGCAGCTTGATGGATGAAAGTGCAGGGTGGATTTTAAGACATAGGCTAAAATTCTGTCTGTGTAAGATATGCTGCATAAGGCTGACAATATCATTAGAATGATTTCCAAACATTTCCTGCTTCTGTCCTGAAAAAAGCAGTGTTTGTGAAAACTTATGCCAAGTAATGTTACTTAATCTTTAGGGTGCTAACTCTTCATTGTTTTTCACTGTAGTTGGGAATATGACTCTGAACATGTTTTGATCTTTTTTCAGTGATAGAGTTATGTTATTAGCATGAAGCAGAATGGTCATTATAGCACCCTGCCAAGCAAAAGCCACTGACGTTCAAAGCAGGCACATGATGTTTTCTTCTTCTTCCAACTACTTTGATGGCTTTCTGACCTCCAAATTGTATCATTATTTCAACAGAAGACACAGTATCAAAGAAAGCAATGTGTCACTTTAATGGGAAAACATATGCTGATGAAGAACGTTGGGATATTGACAGCTGTACTCACTGCTATTGTCTGCAAGGTCAGACCCTTTGTTCTACAGTTAGTTGTCCTCCACTTCCATGTGTAGAACCCATTATTGTGGAGGGAAGTTGCTGCCCAATGTGCCCAGGTAAGTGTGTGTGTGTGTGTGTGTGTGTGATGTACTTACTTGCTTACTCAATTTATATACTGCCTTTCTCCAATAAAGAAACATGAGACATTTAAATCAGTGCATTTTGGGGAGCCTATGTAATGTTAATCAGGAATTTTGGCACATGTGGAAAACAGAAAATCATTTAGCAAAAATAGGAAAATGCTGTACAAAATGTAATGAGTGACAAAGTGACTGTTTGGGAATTCCATGTCAGCTTTCTTATAGTTCAGCCACTAACCACCAAGAAAGATGTCAGGCAGAATAAATTTCTGATAAGCTGAAAATTAAGTAAAGTTGTTGGGTTAGTTCAAATAATATTTGGCCCTAGAAAATGATTGCTTTTTCTTTTCCTATACTTCCTATTAAGTCAGTAAGATATGCTTTAATTAGAACTACCTTCAATTTCTACAGCAATGAACCAGGATTACATCTCTTGTCTCGGTTACAAAATTTTAGCACCAAGTAAAGGCAGCATTTTCTTCAGTGTGGCAAGGGAAGGTCTAATCTCTGATCTGTAGCCTAGCACTACAGAAAGGCTGACAGTTGCCAGACAGAAATGGATAGAGTGCTGTGTTGCATCTACCTAATGCTATATAACACTAGGCATCCATTATTGTCAAAATCTAGTAACCTCTTTAAGAAACTACTGATGATACTGTGATCTGTTCTGATTTTCCCCTTTGCATTCTTTGGTCTCTCTCTCTCTCTGAAAACAGAATTAGAGCAATCTCAGAAAGAACAATATTAACAGTGCTCTAGTTTGGAAACTCTTGTTTTCTGAGCTGTGTGTAACTTTTCAGCTAGGATGGGAAACTTCATTTCTGACTGCACTATGCTGTTGTCTTTTGTTTGTCATCTATCAATGTTCAGAAATATTGTCTGCTTAAAACCTACTATTTTATATATCAAATTCGACTTCCTTTACTGATCCCTGTGATCTTTTAAAAAGTGCTTTTCTAGCTACTGTCGTCAGACAGTAATTACAGTGAAATGTGACACAATAGATTAGTGAAAAAAAATCAGGAAAAGGCTACATGGTTGTGGAAACTGTACAAATGCAGGGTATAAAAAGATATCTTGGACAACAGTCTCTTAGTTCTGTGTAGTCTCAAAAGCAGAAACGGTATAAAATAAAACAGTAAGAATCATACAAAATAAAGGATGTCTGTGAGCTTAATTGATGTGGTTAAGCAGAGGTAACTTTTCTAATGAGATCATATGACAAACTATTATGTTTTATAGAGATGTATGTACCTGAGCCTACCAATATTCCAATCGAGAAGACAAATCATAGAGGAGATAATGAACGGGAAGTACCAGTTCGGCCTACACTCAATGAAAATGATATTCATATCCATAGAGGTAAATTGTATTTCATCCAGGCAGAAGTACTATGTACCATAGATTGTTTAGATTAACTTACAGTTGTTGTTTTTCTTATATAGTGGTGCTTCGCTTGATGAGGATAATCCATTCCAGCAAAATCACTGTAGAACAAAATTGTCATCAAGTGAAAGTAAAAAACCCATTGAAATGCATTGAAAACCGGTTCAGTGTGTTCCAATGGGCGAAATACCTCAGCGTCCAGCGAAGATCCTCCATAGGGCGGCCATTTTCCAGTGCCTGTAAAGCGAAAAAGCCTTCCTAAACACAGTGGGAAGCCATTTTGAAACAATGGACGGCCATTTTAAAACCCAACAATCAGCTGTTTTGATTGTTGTTAAGCGGAAATCAGTTCCCGAAGCAGGGAACCGATCGTCAAGTGATTTTTTCCTATTAAAACATTGTGTTGCGATAGTGATCACAAAATACTCATCGTTAAGCGATTTCCTCGTCTAACGAGGTAATCGTCAAGCAGGGCACCACTGTATTAATGTTTGCTCCAAAAAACACATTAGGGCTTATTTTCAGGGGACTTTTTTAGTTTTATTTTTTCATGTACAACAATCTACGTTTATTCAAATACAGTCATACCATCTTCTTCTGGTTGCTGCACAATGGTGGAGTGCGGGGTTTCACTTAACCAGGGCTTATTTTTAGAGTAGGGCTGATATTACGAGCATCCTGAAAAGTCATACTAGGGCTTTTTTCAGGTCTTATTTTCAGGGAAACAGGGTAGGTGTTGATATGCTTTAGCAAATGTATAATGCACTGGGTAATAAACAATGTGGGGCAAAACAAATATTCATTAAATAAATAGAGATTTAAATACCCTATTTATATAAATAAGAGGAGATTTAAATATGTATTCACGAAGGATTTATGTATTCTCAAAGATAATATGTATTCGCCAAGAGACTATGTATTCACGAAGAATATGTATTCGCAAAGATTTAAATACTCTATCCATATGTAGACTAATGGTTGATACATCAGCCTAAACTAATAAAGGTTGCTCCAGGACCACCTGTGCCTCCAGTAACAATATAGTATCCAAGGGCAACTCCCACCTATGAAACTGATGCGTAAAGGGGTTACACAACACCTTCCGAACATCACTTAGTTGAGCAGATGCACCATGCTAACAATATCTCCACATTATCTAGACTGAGTCTCAGTTTATTGATACTCATCTAGCCTACTATTATGCCCACACAGTCATTCAGAACAACTGTGGCCTCTCCTGCATTAGATGAAAAGAAGAAATGAAAAGATTTAAGCTTGAATTCCATAGACAAAGCTAGGAAAATATTTTCTTAATTAAGTGGATGGAGTAAAGCATCCGAAATGAATAATTACGATACAGGGAGCTTAGGAAACCATTAGAGATGTCATACAATGGTATCAGTAGGGTCACGTTATAAATCTGCCAGGGTAGAAAATAGATCATGATCTAGCTAGATTCTGAATGATTTCCTGTAATTCGACTAAGTTTTCTGACTCACTGAAATTATGAAGAAAACTTTAACCGAAAGTATGTTTTCTATATTAAAAGATCTGTGACTAGTTCAGTTGTGGTATAGAAAACAAATTCCTAGCCTCGGAATGTGCTCAGATGCACTCTAATTATGTCTTTCACATCTGGTTCTGGTAGGTGAATCTTAAAAGAGCTGTAATAATGATAACTGAATTTTAAATCCCCCCTCCCATCTACATAAATCTTATTTGAACCCTGAAGTAAGTTCTTACTGAATGAATTCTTGTTGTGCATTGGGAATGATGTCAGCAGCAGCAGCAAATCGTTACTGATTAAAAAGGCAAATTGTTCCTGATTATAGATGGTTTCAGGGTGAACACAAAATCACACAAAAAAGCCTTTAATTGTCAGGAATTCGTTCCTGATAATGACATCTTCCGTGTTGTGCATGCAGAGATATGCAACAGGATTTTAGCCACTGAATATTTTGTATAGTAATTGCTTGTAATATATGGGCAACCAATTTGGGGAATGTTTTTGTTGCTCAGAATAATTGTATCATTTTCAGGATTAAATTTAGAAAGTACTGAAATTGAACTACTCTGGAACTGAATGATTATGATATGATCTAGATATTTGCTGCTAACATGCTTATTCATACTTTCTAGATATGGGTCACCTTCAGGGGGATTATAGAGAAGCCAGAGGATCACAGCTGACTACAGAGGCATCTCTTACTTCTCTTGCATGGGTGACAGTGCCTATTATGACAGCTCTTGTTCTTATAATAGCACTTCTACTTCTCAATCAGAAAAAGCAATGGATACCAGTATTGTGCTACAGAACACCAACCAAGGTAAATGACTAAACAGATGCAATATATGCATGATCTTGTAGTTTTCCTCTAGTTGCTTTGTTTAAACAGACAACATACAATTGCATAGTTTTTAATTTGCATATTGGCCAGGTTCCAGCTGAATTTTTATGCCTGTGTAGGTGCCGTGGTGTAACTCAAGAGTGATGAATTGCCACTAAGCAGTGAGTCCTAGTTGAATTCCTAGTTCTGTGCTAGAAATTCCCAAGTTACTCCGTTCTACTTACACAGACTTAAATATTCACTTGGATTCAGGCCATTATATTCTTAAACTGCCCAGAAAACAGTTATATTAGAAATACATTATATTTCTAATAAAAAAGAATACAACAGGAAAAAATTGATGAGACACATAAAAATATACAGTGGTGCCTCGCATAACGAGCGCACCATTTAACGACGAACCCGCATAGCGATCTTTTTTTTTTTAGATCGCTAATGCGATTGCATTGCGATGTTTTAATGGGCAAAACATCGCATTGCGATGATCGGTAAGCGTTTTGCTTACCGAGCTTCACATTGCAATGTTCCTAAAACAGCTGATTGGCAGTTCCAAAATGGCCGCTGGGTGCCCAAAATGGCCACCACAACCATTTTCACGAGGTTTCCTCGCTTACCGAGGGCGCAAAAATGGTGGGGCTATGGAGGAACTTCGCTGAACTGTGAGTTTGGGCCCTATAGGAACGCATTAAACGTTCCGTTTAGCAATGTTTCCACATAGCGACGATTAATCCAGAACGGATTAACGTCGGTATGCGGGGCACCACTGTATATAACTAAAAACAGGAACAAAGAATAGACATGCAATAGCTTATGACAGCAAATCAATGTTAGTGGCAGGAAAAAATGCAAAGATCTAAAAGCATAAGAACAGTATTAAATTGCCTTGAAAAATGAAGGATCTTTGCATGACACAAAAGTGACCATACAGTAGGTGCTATACATTCTGTATTTTACTGAAACTATGTCAGATATAGAAAAATATTTCTCTTGATTATAGCCACCCATATTTGATGGTTAAGGTCCTGGACACTTCTTTGTATGCAAATTTCTCTCACAAATATTAAACATCTTCCAAAAAAATTAAGCACACCTTTTAAAGTTGTTTGCATTCACTCGGAAAACAGAAAACTTGAAGTATCTAGCCTTCCAATTTTCATTGAGCCTATTGTCTGTGGCAGGTGAAATCTTAACACCATTGTATCACTGCTGAGATCCATTTCCTGGTCTGCAGCCTCTTTCCCCCATTAGAAACTAAAATTGTATGCAACAATTCAAGATCAGTGTTCTTCACCTTTTTCACTTCTTTCCACTTTGTTCCTTCTAACATCTCAAGTGATGAAAACAATATACTCGCAAATGCTTGTGCATTTTTATTGTACCTTTTTAGTTGGCCTGTAAAGATGTCTGTTCAGTATAGAATTTGTAATGTGTTTTATGCCAACACAGTTATCACTGCTTTTGTTTATTGACTTACCTTTTTTTACTTGATGAGATGTGTGCTGTAGCTTCTGATTCCAGTCATTATGATAGGGAATAGCTAAAGAAGTTCACATTGAACTGAGGTGTTGCTCATCATATTAAAATCTGCACTCTTTTAAATCATAAGCACACTGAAAACCGTCTTATACCAGGACATACTGCATGCTTTTCTTGCTCTGATTTGCAGGAGCTCCCTGGAATCTCAAACAAACATCTTTCATACCATGAAGTTTCTGTATGCATTTGCTGATCCACTGAATAACCTGATGCTTGTAAGATCAATACAGCCAAACAAAAATACTGTTTCACACTGTGATTATAAATTATGCAAACTATATCAGGGGCTTGTGTCACATTTTAAATGTAGTAGGCATATTAATCACAGATACGTTGCTTGATGGTGATTAACCATGACAATAAAATAGAACATTTAGTGCCTTTTTGTGTTTAGGTAGGCAAATCTCTTCGTGACCTCATGGACCAGAGCATGCCAGGCCCTCCTATCTTCCAATACTCCCCAGAGTTTGGTCAAATTCATGTTGGTACCTTCAATGACACTGTCCAACCATCTCATCCTCTGTTGTCCCCTTCTCCTCTTCCCTTCACTCTTTCCCAACTTCAGGGTCTTTTCCAGGGAGTCTTCTCTTTTCATGAGATGGCCAAAGTATTGGAGCCTCAGCTTCATGATCTGTCCTTCCAGTGAGCACTCAGGGTTGATTTCCTTCAGAATTGATAGGTTTGTTCTCCTTGCAGTCCAGGGGACCCTCAAGAGTCTCCTCCAGCACCATGATTCAAAAGCATTGATTCTTTGGCAGTCAGTCTTCTTTATGGTCCAGGTCTCACTTCCATACATCACTACTGAAAAAAACCATAGCTTTGACTATGCGGACCTTTGTCGGCAAGGTGATGTCTCTGCTTTTTAAGATGCTGTCTAAGTTTGTCATTGCTTTCCTCCCAAGAAGCAGGTGTCTTTTAATTT